GTTGTATATTGGAAATGTTCTAGGAAATGCTCTGTGGCATTCAACATGCAACAAAAAGAAAAAAGAAAAAATATCGAAACCGAAACGTGCATCTCGTGGCAAGCGGCCTTTTGGCTAAGTAAACACATCGGCCAAATACTTTTGTTTACGAACCGCACGCGTCCGCAGCACAAAGAGCGGCATCCAGTGGCATTCTATAGAAAAGCGGGCCAAAGACTAAGCGAAAAACAAACTATACGAATGCATATATATATATATATATATATATATGTATATATATATATCCGTGGAAGAAAACTCTTTCAATAACAGAAATATATTCAAAGTGGTTGCACTTTTGTACACTGCACAAAATTTGTTTGATGCATTTTTAAAAGTTGCCATTTTTTTTATAGTTTTTAAATTTTGTTGTTAATTGAACATATATATTAAATATATTTTTTTAATTTGGACTATATAGTGGCAATTTTTTTTTTTAATTTTTTTTTAACATTTCCTGAAGTAATGGAAATTGTTTAATTATTTTTTGCCCATTTTCTTGAATGCTTTTTTGACACATTTGAAGCGAAAGTAGTTTCATCTCGATAAACGCTTGCATCGAGCTGCATCTGTTTAGCTTTATATATATGTATATATTTTCTATATGCTTCAAGTCTTTTCCCTATTGGTCCGCTAAGCTTTGATTCGCAAACCTGGTTTGAGTCTCTTTGGTCTCGGTTTGCTTAAATTTAGCTGAAAAACAATTTTAGCTAGCTAAAAATATTGCTTAAGATTTAGAAAAAGGGAAAAAATAGCCTGGTGGACATGTGGCTTGGAGGTGTTTTTTTTTGTGTAATATATCATAAATATATGCCTTATGGCTACGGAGGTGTCTTCTTCTGTGCGTTCTACATTTCTAATGTTCTGCGGTAATATTAATTTGGCAAAAAAAAATTGCAGCCATAACTCTTAAGTCCACTCCAACATCTGCCCTGCCACCAGCCTAGGCTCATCATTTTAATCCATTTGGACGGACAAGAGCTGGCGAGCTGGGCGTGTGCTCAACTTCTCCTGGGAGCAGGGACAAAATTTGAAAATTTATGCGACGAGGCGTGCCAAAAAACAAAAACAAAAAAACCGGGGGGGGAGAAAACAATGTAAGAAGAAAAATGGGGAAAAACGACTGTGAAAATATCAATTAGTTTGTGCTCCAAATGTGTCCCGAATGTCGACAGCAGAGGACGAGGCGGAGGCGGAGGCGGAGGCGGAGCAGAAGGTGTGCGAGCTGTGTGTTAACTGCAGTTAGGCACGCCTACAATATACAATGTATGATAGTTCACACACACACACACACACACACACACATGCACATGCACGCACCCACACACATAGATACACACTGGCACATGGAGAAATGAGAAGCGACTTGGCGCTCTGTTGCCGCATGTCCTTGACACATATCCCCGCTTGGCACGCACAACATCTCTCTCTGTGTGTGCGTGTGTGTGTGCGTGTGTGTGTGTGGCCAACGCCTTGTTGGGCTTCCGCTTGAAGCTTGGCCCTAATCCATTTGAACTTTTTACGTTTCAGCTGTGTCCTCGCTGCCAACTCTCTGCCAAGGATAATAAAAGAAAATTCTCCTAGTTTATGGGCCAGCGCAACTTTTGCGGCTTCCCATCAGCCAATGTGCTTGTGTGCTTGGTAATATAATCCTAATGGAATTTACACTGGAAATTTACAGTGTTATGGCCATAATAGCGAGGAGCGTGCAACGTGGCCTTTTGTCATGCGACCGCGATTTTCTAGAACATTTTCGCTTTTATTGAACACAAAGTTGAATAACAATTGAAATGAGATTGAATAAAGATTTCAATTGTTCAAAGTTGAACGGGAAATTTCAATACAGCTACAACAATTGTGAATCAGTTGAATCATAATTGAACCAAAAATGATTTATAAGTTAATTTGCAACAAATGTCAAAAAATTGAAATTGAAATTGAATCACGGATTGAACATAATTTGATAGCAGATAAAATGCAAATTGCAGCTGTAACTTGACAAATGACTCATAATAAAGTTTGAATGGGATTAAAAAAAGTTGGACTCAATTCAAGTGAATTTAAATATATAAATTATAAGCAAATTTTAAAATATTTATACCCAATATAAAGTTTACGCACAGCAAAAACTATTTAAACTCTTTTTATGTTGAACAAAACGTGGATTACAAAAATTAAATTTGAATTTAAATTTAGCTGATTTTTAGATTTTTAGAATTGAAATCAATAGAAAATTCAACTTAGGATTTTGATAGGGGAATTAAAATAAATAGAAAATGGAAGCGAAAATTGAAGAAATCAAGAAAATGAATTGCAAACAAAATTGAATTGAAATTGAAAGACAAAGTTAATGGTATCTAGAATTCACAGGGCAATTTGATGAAGTGCACAATTATTATATATTCGATTAAAAATTAATTCTAATTTCTAGCAAAATTACGTTTTATAAGTTTCTTGTGTATTTCTTGCCCGGAAGCCTCTGACTAGATATTCGTTTTGGCTGTTTCGCTTCGTCTGCGTTCGATGCAAAATGGAATAGAACTTGAGAATATTTTTTATTTCTATTTTATACATATGTATACATATATACACACATATATATATATATATATAGTCTTTTTTTTTTGGCTGAAGGTCAAGTGCATTAAGGCGAAACGGAAATGAAAATGTGAAATAGATATAAAAATAGTCGAAAAAAAAAAAACGAAAAAAAAAACGAAAATGAAAATGAAAACGAGCGCCAGGGCGACGTCGACCATTTCTATATATCAACAATTTGCTGGCAAGAGTTAGGGCCATCAATTGGGTGCAAAGGGGCACGAGGGGGGGGGGGGGGGGGGTGGATGGCAGAGCTATAGCCAAAGCATGAAGCGTGCGTGAGCGTAGTAAATTGTATTTTATTTGATTTGATTTTGAAAAAGCAAAGCTGCAGCCGTCGCCTGACGCGTTTATCGTTTATCGTTTATCGTTATCCTTGAGCCGAGCAAGCAGCAGGAGCGAGCGGGCAGAGAGAAAGTGAAAGAGCGAGTGGAAGAGCGAGTGTTGGGGCTGGTGGCACTTAATTGTGCGTGTCAGGCAGCCACTACATGGACACGGACATGGCCATGGATGGCACCCACACACGTGCCCACACGACGCCCAAGCGCTGGGTGTGCTTAAGCCACAGATGTGGTTAACAGGAGGGGGAGGGGGAGGGGGAGGGGGAAGGGGCAACGGTTAAAGATGTGCTGGCGCACGGCTGGCCCGAGGGAGGCGTGGAGGGTGAGACGCAGCGACGTTCATAAAAACGGAAATGCTGGCGCCGACATTATCATTTCAGTGTGTGTAAGTGTGTGTGTGTGTGTGTTTGTGTGCGGGCGCAATTATGATAATTGAGCAAGCGAGAGACAAAGAGACAGAGAGAGAGAGAGAGAGAGAGCGAGCGAGAGAGTGTGTGTGTGCTGCAAATCGGCAGACAGGTTAAATTGCGCGTAACTCGCCAGCGAGCGGGCAGATTTCTCTACGTTGTTTGATTGATTTGACGCCATTTGGGGCACATGCCACATGCCCCACGCAGCAGGCAGCAGGCAGCTGGCAGCAGGCTGGCAGCAGCCGCTACAAGGACATCAAGCTGGCGCCGCTTTGTCTGCTGGACCCCCACTTCGTTGCATGCCACAACATTCATCAGCAGCTGCTGCCGCCGCCGCCGCCGCCGCCTTGCCACACCTTGTGGCAGCCAGATGGCGTGCAGCAAATTAGCTGCCTTTGATTGATTTCGCGTGCCACAATGCGACGCATGCGACGTATACGCAATATTTTCGTTGCCAGCCCAGGAAGCTGCATTTAGCAGGGGGGGGGGAACAGTCAACGAGGGGGGTAGGGGCGAGGGGGGAAATTCACTAAATTTAGCCAACAGCCATTTGGCAGCTTGTTTACAGTGAACATGGCCAAAATGGGCTACCGGGCAAAACGGGCAATGCCCTGACATGTAAACAGAGCATTTTTTCATTCCTGCGCGTATTTCACAAATATTCGACATGGAAATGGAAATGGAACAGAAATTAAATTGAAGGAAACGCATTGAATTGAACGTGAATTGAATTGAATAGTTTTTGATTTGTTAAATTACACGAAATGTGGCTAATTGAATGCAAAGAATTGAATGTGTTGTCAGTTGAATTGAAATTGAATGCAAACGCATTTCAAATTCAAAAATAATTATTGTGTAAATTGCATTGAAATTGAATTGTTTGATTAAACTGTGAACCAAGTGCAATATTCAATAAAAATTCATTTTTAACATGAATTTGTAATTTTGCTTGCTTTTGGCAATTGCTTTAACTCTTTCAATATCAAGTGCTTGCTTTCAGTATTCATTTCAATTTCAATCAATGAAATTTTTCAATTTCAGTTGATTAAAAATTAGTTTCAATCTAGAAGAATTTGAAATAAATACAACACAATATCTTAACTAAAAATATGACCGCAACAAAATTGAACTTTATATATGGATGATCATCTCCAAATCTACTTTCAATATCAATTTTATTTTGTTTTGAAATTAGTTTTCAATTGAATAAATTCAACTTCAATTAAATTGAACTTAATAAGCTTTCAGCTTCACTAACGAATTGAATTTCAATTTCATATTTGTATATACATATATTTAAATAAAATAACAAATAAATTTCAAGCTGAATCATATTGTAGTCAATTGTTGTTAAGCTTCAACTAAATTGATTCAACATTGAATTGAAATGAAGTTATAAATTAATTGAATGCGTAAAGCAGCTAAATGCATTTGTTTAGCAATAAACAGCCATAATTGATGGCTGTCAAATGAGGCGGCTTTTTATCAGGCTTACGCTGGCTTTTTCGTGTATTCAGCTGAGCTTTTCGGCTTTTCGGCTTTTCAGCTTTTCAGCTTTTCAGTTTTCGCAGATTTTCAGTTTTCACAGATCGATGGCCGCACTTTGACTTACCATAAAATGCACAATCGTTTGGCTGCAATGGGAAGAAGCAGAAGCAACAGGTTAGCAATGTTTTTAAAAATGATAATGATTAAAGCTATGTCATTAATTCGAGTGTGGATTAAGTTTATTCACAGATTATTCACAGAGTATTCACAGTGTATTCACTGTGTATTCACTGTGTATTCAAACTAACAGCATTTGTTGGAATTGAGACTGCGGCGAGGCTGTGCGTACGCCCATCAATAATTGCAGCTTATGCTCATCCATTACGTGGCCAAACATCACCCCGCCTCCCCCCCCCCCCTTCTATCCCTCACCCGTCCCTCACCCGCCCCTCACACCCCCCTCCCCATTTGATAGGCACCTCCACCCTTGAAGTATTTTGGTTATTTACTGTGTGTAAAAGACGATTGATGGTTATTGATTAGGCGTCTGTCCTCCAACCCTCACCCTCAACCCCCCCCCCCCCCTGCCCACCCACCTTCCAACGCTCACACACACACACTGCCTGGCCATCACACACACGACTCCCCCTCCCCAGCCCCCTTCTTTGCGCCATCAGACTATTAGCTTAAATTGGCGACCGGCGCATGAATCATCGCAAAAGCCGAAGACAGTTCAAAAAAGACACGAAAAAATGAGCGAGCAAAAAAAAAGAAGCAGATGAAAAAGAAAACAAAAAGTGCTGAAGACAAGACGTGAAAAATATACAAAATATATATACAGAAAACAATAAGAAGAAGCACAAGCTGAAAGACGCTAAAAACAAACGCGCGTAGGTAGCGCCAATTTTTAAGGCAAACACGCTGGCAGCGGAGGGGAGCGGTAAGCGGGAGAGGTGGAGGGGGCAGGTAGAGGGAACAGCAATCGCTTCTATACATCCTCCACCCCACCCTGGCTGTGTCCATTAATTTGGCTTAAATCTTGAAAGCAAACGACGACAAAAAGCAAAACGAAAGACGTTTTGTTTATTTGGTTTTTCGTGCGTGTGCGTGTGCGTGTGTGCGTGTGTGTGTGTGTGTGTTTATTTGAGTATTTCAGTATTTTTGGTGTATTTGCCATTCGCAGCCGTAACCCCATCCCCCCCCCCCCCCCCCCACCCCCGCTCCCTTCCGCAATCACCGCGCCACCGCGAGAAGTTGTTTTACTAACAAATCGGAAAGAGCTACCTAATTTGCAACATTTTTGTGTGTGGGGAGGATTAAGGCCTTTCCGAATTGCATCTTTAATGGCATTAATTTGTTTGAAATGCCAAAAGGCATTTCAGCGGCAGTTGAAAAAATACAACAAATGCACACAAACCTATATATATATATATATATATATATATGCGAAAAATACCAAAAAAAAAAGGTAGGGGGGGGGGGGGGGGGCGGGGAGAAAATATCAATACAAACAAATGCGTCGGTCGTTTGGTTATTTTGTGCGAATTTTCACAAAATTGTGCATTGAAATGTGCAAAAACCCAATTAGCTGCAATTAACAGCAATTTTCTGTGCCTATTTAGAGAGATGCTAAAAAAAGAAGCCCATAAAACAAAACAAAGGTTTGCGGGTGGCGCTGCTGTCGGGGGCGGGGGCGGGGGCGGGTGCGTGGGCGTGGGCGTGGGCGGAGCGATGGCAAGGGTGGAGCTGTAAACCGAGCTGCATTTGATATTAGTTTGATTGAAATCAAATGGAAAGTGTTTTTGATTGAAACAAAATTGAAGCTGAAATTAAATTGAAAGCGAATTGAAATTGAAAGCGTGATAATGCAGCTGATTACAAAAATTATTGTAAAAAATTTGATTAAACTAAATTGAATGTTTGATTGAAAGCACATGGAAAGAATGTTTGATTGAAACTGAAATTGAATAGAAAGAGAGTTGAAGGTATGCCAGCTCCGCTGATTCGAATTGATTAATGTAAAAATTCGATGAAACTAAATTGAATGTTTGATTGAAATGAAATCAAAAGTGTTTTTTGATTGAAACTAAATTGAAACTGAAACTATTATATGAAATATTGAAAGCGATCTTGAAGATGTGCTAATTGAGACGATTCAATTAAATTAGTGTGTTAATTCCATAAAGATAAATTAAATTAAATTAAACCAAAAAATTGATTGATATTTTGTTGTGGTTGGAACTGAATTGAAAGCGACTCAGCATTGAAGGTGTGCTAATTCAGACGATTCAATTAGATAACTGTGATATTTATATAAAAGTGAATAGAAAATGTAATTGATAGCATAAGGTGCATATGGTGATTGAACCAAAATTTAGGTTGAAGTTGAATTGAAACAACTTAGGATTTAATGTTTGCTAATTCAACCGATTCACTAAAGTTATATCTATAAGATGACTTGATTGATATCATGTGGAAAGTGAAACAAAATTTATGTTAGATTAACTTGAAAGTATATATTTTCAAAAAATTATCAAACTAATGACTTTAATTGAACGTAAAATTTAAGTTAAAAATGAAGTTAAAATTAATTGGATTCAAGCGATTCAAGCGCAAACGAAAACCATAATAAAAAAGCGAGCTTGTTGAAATGACACATTTCCGAATTGCGATTAATTGAATTGAAATTCAAATTGAAAATTAAAATTGAATTAAAAATTGAAGTTAAAATTGCGATTAATTGAATTTAAATTGCATTAAAAACAACTTTGTATTTAAATGTTCAACTTAAAACATATTGCAAAGCCTGCAAATTGAAGAGAAAAATTTCAAAAAATTCAATGAAAATTGAAATCGAAAACAGATTGCATTGAATATATATATAAAAAAAAAAAAAGGTTGTATAATTGTTGAGCTGTTGAATTGAATTAAACCTTAATGAAATGCAAAGTGCTTTGCAGGTCATCATCATATGCGGCTCATGGAGTTTTTATTTAGCTGTTTGCCAATAAAAGTACAAAAATAAAAATAAAAAAAAAAAAACAATATAAGAATTGTACATTGTACAACGCGTTGGTAATAAGATTCTTTATACTACATACTACATATTAAACGTGTGCACCAGAGAGACATCAAATGATGTCTAGAATAAATGTGTGACTGTGTTTTACGAGTCTCATTAGCAGTCATAAGATTTATAATACTGGAATCGTAAGTGTCGAGCGTGTGTGCGCTTCTTTTGTCAGTTCATTTGTTCATTTGTTTATTTGTTTGTTTGTTAACCCATTGACATTAGATAGCAATTTGTATTTGCTGCCACAACCTTGGCACGTAACACGGACAAACATGCTGATCTATGCGATCTATGACTGGGCTGGCTGCTCCGATCGATAGGCATGTTTGCCAAGCGAGAGTTCTATGCTTTAGCTGTGTTTGCAATCCTTTGCAATCTTTGACAGATTATTTGTCGAGCAGATACCACAATGGTTTCTCTCTAAAGATCAGTGAAGTAGACGTTATATGATGATCATCAAGCGATATCTTCACCACAAATAGTCACAGCCCTTCAACTGATCATTCAATCGATTGTTTACAGATTGAGCTTTCTTTCTAGTTTTCTGACCAGTTGATCTTAGAAGTCTTATCGTAACCGATCCACTGCATACCCTTATCATTTCTGTGCTGCCTTTATCAGTGATCAGTGTTCATGAGCTTCCAATTTGATGGCCGATCAAACTTACTGGGATAGTTCTATAGTAGAAAATACAGTTGTCCCTCTTCCTCACCCGCTTTTCTCTTTAACAGTGATCGGTGATCAACAGGGAAGAAAATCCATAGATCAGACTGCTCTCTATCTGTCTGCATTGCTTTCACTCTCACACTGTGATCAGCGATCTATGTGAGCTCTCCTCCTCTCTCTCTCTCTCTGATCAGTGATCTTCATACATGAGACTGATAATGCACTCTCTCCCTTTCTCTCGCTCTCTCTCTCTCTCTCTGGCCTTAACTCTGATCAGTTGATCCATGTGATCTACAATGAAATAAAACTAAAAACTAGATAGCTATCGCTCTCTATGCCAATGATCGGCTTGATCAGCTGCTGTACGTCTAGATGACTGATCAATTAGCGCATATCGCACGACCTTCATTTTGGCAAGTGGTGAGTCCATAGTTCCAGAATGCGAAATGCCACTTTGCATGTAGACACTGGGCTGACGGACAGAAAGCAGTTCGTGTAAGAGCTGTGAAACGCCAAATAGATGCCAATTTGAATAATGAAGCAGAGAACGGCCATTCTTTGCAATTAACGAACGACAGCTGCTCCACAAAATGCAGCCGTAAAGAGCTGAAACTAATTTTAAAAGAAAAACAAAAACCAAAAAAAAACAGGCAAAGAAAAAAATATAAACAAGAAAATCAACAATTAAACGCACAACGAGGCACATTAAAAATTATTTAATTAAGTGATTTTAATTTTCGTTCTACTATTGCTTTTTATTCGAGACTCTTGTTGATTGTCTAATTTCATTAATCAAGGGGTGACCAGCTGGGAGGGGGAGGGGTATGGGGTAGGGGGGGGGGGGGGGTGTACTATATGGGGCTAAGAGGTTGACCAATCAAGCGCCTGACGTAAATTGATTGGCACCGCGCCAGTGGGAAAATGGGGCAGTATTTGGAGCGAACGCACGATCGTTGGATCTCGTTATTCTTCTTTTTGCTTTTGTTATATATCAATTAGAATAGAGAATTTGACCTTTCAGCTCAGCTGTATGCGAAGCCGAAGCGAACTCGATTACGATTACGATTATGATTACGATTCCGATTCCGATTCCGATTACGATTCGTGTGATCGTCATCGTGATCGTGATCGTTGCGTGGGCGTTGCACATAAATCACACTTAGAGGGCAAAGTTGTGGCATCAAATGAATGAGAAGCCGCCACGTCGCCCTCGCCCTCTTCCCCTCTCTCCCTCTCTCACTTGCTCCATTAATTGTTTAGCTAGCGCATAGAGCGAGCCAAAGTCTAATTGGGCCAAAGTCTGCGCTACCTTAGTTCACATAAACTTAGAGCCAAGCTGTGAGATGAGAGCAAAAATTGATCTAAATCTAATGTTAGAAATGGCTAAAAATAGCTTCATTTAATTAG